TTCAGCAAGAACCAATGAGGTTCATTCTTGTGTTACGCAGCACGTTTGAGCTTCAGCAAGAGCCAATGAGGTTCATTCTTGTATTACGCAGCACGTTTGAGCTTCAGCAAGAGCCAATGAGGTTCATTCTCATGTTACGCAGCACGTTTGAGCTTCAGCAAGAACCAATGAGGTTCATTCTCGTGTTACGCAGCACGTTTGAGCTTCAGCAAGAACCAATGAGGTTCATTCTCGTGTTACGCAGCACGTTTGAGCTTCAGCAAGAGCCAATGAGGTTCATTCTTGTGTTACGCAGCACGTTTGAGCTTCAGCAAGAGCCAATGAGGTTCATTCTTGTGTTACGCAGCACGTTTGAGCTTCAGCAAGAACCAATGAGGTTCATTCTCGTGTTACGCAGCACGTTTGAGCTTCAGCAAGAACCAATGAGGTTCATTCTTGTATTACGCAGCACGTTTGAGCTTCAGCAAGAGCCAATGAGGTTCATTCTTGTGTTACGCAGCACGTTTGAGCTTCAGCAAGAACCAATGAGGTTCATTCTCGTGTTACGCAGCACGTTTGAGCTTCAGCAAGAGCCAATGAGGTTCATTCTTGTGTTACGCAGCACGTTTGAGCTTCAGCAAGAACCAATGAGGTTCATTCTCGTGTTACGCAGCACGTTTGAGCTTCAGCAAGAACCAATGAGGTTCATTCTTGTGTTACGCAGCACGTTTGAGCTTCAGCAAGAACCAATGAGGTTCATTCTTGTGTTACGCAGCACGTTTGAGCTTCAGCAAGAACCAATGAGGTTCATTCTTGTGTTACGCAGCACGTTTGAGCTTCAGCAAGAACCAATGAGGTTCATTCTTGTGTTACGCAGCACGTTTGAGCTTCAGCAAGAACCAATGAGGTTCATTCTTGTGTTACGCAGCACGTTTGAGCTTCAGCAAGAACCAATGAGGTTCATTCTTGTGTTACGCAGCACGTTTGAGCTTCAGCAAGAACCAATGAGGTTCATTCTCGTGTTACGCAGCACGTTTGAGCTTCAAGCAGAACGTCAAGCAGGTTCGGTTGAGCTTCTGTATATGTTCACTGATCAATGTTTATATGTGAATAAAAGCCTAAATTAAATATGTTCATCATTTAAAGGGATCGAGTCTCTTTAGAAAATTTGGACTAGACCGCTCAATTTATATGCATTAGTTTTACGATCTCTTTATGAACTTTTTGAAGCGTCAAAGTGTCAGTTGCGTAGCTGCAAATGGCTGGACAGAAATCTCACAGATTTCATCAAAAAGATCTTCATTTGTGTTCCAAAGATGAATGAAAGTCTTACGGGTTTGGAATGACATGAAGGTGAGTAATTAATGACAGAATTTTCATTTTTGGGTGAAATAATCCTTTAAGCGGACAGTCTACTAATACTTTAATACTTTAATACTGCTAGTTGACATGCAGTTACTTATAGTTAGTAGAAGCTCTGAAGTGGACTAACGAAATAAAGTGTAACCTATGCCTCTTCTATGATCAACGTGCTTTAAAAAAGTTTATTATAAATTTTAATTTAAAATTATTTATTGTGATATTTGTGGGGTTTAAAGTAAAACGTGTGTTATAAAAAGGCATCCTTAGATAGCAACAAAGAAAAATTCTCACATTAAAAGCCTGGAATTCTTGAAAAAAGATTAACTTTATTTAAATTCTTACCATAAGCCATACTGTATTAAAACATCATTGATATTTGGATAAAATATGTAAATAGGCAAATAATTAGCCATATATGCCATTAAAGTTAGTCATGTGACAATGAAACCGAGAATGATATCAGAGAATCAGCCCCTCAGGACTGTGTCTCTTACAAACATCAGAGCATTTCTATGGCATGACAAGTTTAGTTGAGGTTGTCACTCATATGTTATTGTTGATCAATGGTTGCACCACTTGACATTTTTATAACTAAATAAATGTTATAACTGCATTTTTGAAACCAAGAAAAATATAAAGATGTCTAAAACTGTGGCACAAGCATTTTAAAGTTGATTCTCACAGACATGTCTTATTTGTCATTGACCTGCATTCATTCTGTCTATTAACGGATTATAAGTCGGAAGATGGTTTCCTAACCTCAGACTAATACGTGGGATCCATACGTCTTCCGTTTGCAGCCGGTTTTAATGGCACATGTGTGAAGTAGCGTATAGTGCATGTGTTAATCATGATGAAAGAGGTTCCCTGCCTCCGTCCAGGGGTCACATAAACACAGCTGTGTCTGGGGCCGCGCACACACGTCCATACGCCCGACTGTGTTTTCAATAAATCAGTGCATCTGAACTCACAGCCTGGCTTATCTGGGCTCAGATCGAGCTCTTTCGGGGTCTGTGATGTGTTTCAGTCTTAATCCCTGCTCTTCAGTGGATCCTTTATGTGCACGAATGCTGTTTGAGCTTCTCCTTATCATCTGAACGTCTGCATTATCAGCATCTGGTCAAAGTACTTTGCTGGACAGTAACACGCATTTGAGCATTCTTACATTCAAATCATCTTGGTACATTTTTGCATAAGAAAAAACAGTCATCAGTCATGGTTACACTTTGTTTGGATGGTGCACTATAGACTAAGTAACTACATGTCAACTAGCATTCATTATAGTATTAGTAGACTCTTAGGAGAACTCTTTTCAGACAAAACTTTGAATGATGGAATCTACAGTACATGATTTATGACTGAGGTAACACTTTATTATATGTAAATATTGCAGCTTCAGAAAATGAAGTCCGCAATAGCATGTGTGCGTTGGCGACTCACGTTTCGCTGAAAACCGTCGGCGGTGTGTCTTTTCACGGCCTCTTTGCATTGTTTCCGATACGCTTCTCGTGTTTCTCTTGCCGGCGGTGGGAACGGCGGGAGAAGCTAATTGCATTGTCGTATGCAGATGTCATTTTTGTTCAGATGCACTTGCAGAATAATTCATTTCTCTCCACTAGTGCCACAGCTTATTCTCACCGCGACCTGTTTAATATGAAATCCCACAGGCTCACTCGCATCGCATGTAAAGACGTGATCCGCTCTTGACAGGGCCAAACAGCTGCGGACTGGAAGACAGCTTCATTATTGTCTTCGTGTTACAGATGGATGACACCGCTGACAGACACGCTGAATAAATTGGCAGGGTTATGCAAAAGAAACGAGCTTACGTTTCGGCTTTCCAGGAGTCTCAAGGTGTATTTTTAGTCAAATGAGATGTTGCACAGCGGTGTGTGGCTTATGATTTCATATGTTAAAAGCATCCGTCGCCGTTCAGCAATCTTTGTCCAGGGTCAGAGGACATGACTGGAATGTCGGATGACAATATAACAATCACACCTGAAAAGTCCTGTTGAACAGAGAACGGCCTGTTGTTTGGTGGACTGTTGTTGTTCAGAGTCTGTCCAGTGCTCTGTTTCTTCACCAACACATCTGATGTTGTGACAATCTTTTGTTTAGTACATTATCTCTCTCGGTTGCAAGATGAATCTTCCGTGCCCTGATCCGGCTCTCAGGAATAAATCATGCTCTGACATTCCCGAAGAGAATTTAAAAGGCCATTTGTCATGAAACTCAAGCTTCATCACAGATATACAGCTGACAAAGCCATCGATTAGGAGTTTACCCGAGTTAACCAGTTTCATGTTAACATTTACTGCTCAAAAGCTTCACAATGCTGCATTCAGCAAGTATTAGACCAAAATTGTTGCTTATATTTGTTGTATAAATGATCGCGATTGACACACTTGTCTTGAATGATTTCCACTGTTCTTAGATTGTAAGTGACTGAATGTGAAACTGTACAGTGACTGTTAAAGTGCTGTCAAACACTGCCGGATCTCTTCATTAACGTCACCTCTCTTCATCAGGGGCCGTATGCGCTCAGTCACGCCGCCGTAGAGAATCACACATCATACACTGACCACTAACACACACAATGGCTTTCGTCAGCTTTTGTTTGATCATTTTGTTTTTTGTCAAATGTTTTGCTTGAAACTCATTCTTGTGCTGTCAATCTTTTGTACATATTTAACTAAATGTGATAAATGGCTATATGTAGCGGTGTTGATGGACAGGGCTCTATCTTCACTGAGTGCCTGAAGGCTGAACACACCTCTGTATTGTTCCTGAGTGATTAGATGGGCTTGTTTGCCCTTTTGCCTTCAGTTGCAACAATGACATCCCAAACAGTTTAGTGCTAGTTGAGTTGCTCCTAATGGAGGGTGTGACAGAACGCTAAACCTCCTTCATGTGCGCCTGCACTCCGGATGAGCCGATCCTGAGAGATTTCCCTGCGTTATCAACAGGAGAAGGAGCTGAAAGACTGGGGCACGGAAAACATGAAACGTTGTCTTTAAGCTTCCGCAATTGTGAGGAAAATACTCCAAAAATGACTCGTAGCAACACACGATTAAGATGCTTTTGTCTTATTCACAGTATGTGGGTCAATCCTATAGTTTGGTGGATTTAAACAATAATACTTATTTTACATACAATGTTGATCAACTTTCATGCCACATGGTTTTCCATGATGTACAATTATTCCAAATGGAGTTTTTCGTTGTTTCCCCGTGTGTTTCCTCCGTTTGCACGAGTAACCATGGTTCTTCATTGTTTGATTAATCCAGTCCACCTGTGTCTCATTTCCTCCCTTTGTTCATGTTTGTATATATAGGGCTTGTTTTCAGTTATTCATTTGTTCTGATCTCAGGTATATATTCCCGAAACCTGAAAGTGTTTGATATTTTGAGTGGGCCCCTATTATGGATTTTTTAAAATGACCTTTCATGTAGTGTGTAACATATCTCTAAGTGAATGAAAACAACCTGCAAAGTTTTAAATCTGAAAGTGCACCGTATATTAAGTTATTGTCTTTCAAAAGTAAGTCGACTCTGAGTCAATAAAATGAATCGTTTTTCGAACGAGTCATAAGCCGTTTCATTGTGACGTCAAGACGAAACATTAGCATATTGCCCGCCCACGCACGCGCAGGCACCAGGGAAAACTTGAACCTCAAACACTGCAGCGGATCCTGTGGACACTGGACAGCATCATGTCCAGAAGATGCTGTGCTCTACAATCTGAAGGTAAAGCCAGTTTATTTCACTGCCCAAGGACGAGCATGTGAAGACTCAGTGGTTAAAGTTCATCTTTATCATGATACACAGCAGTGTAATCCTAAACTATTGCTGTGTTCCCTTTATTTTACTGACGACTGCTTCTCAAATCTTGGAGTTCAATGCAGGATTCGCAAACCGCTTGCTCTTGAAAGATGGTGTTCGAAATACTTCGAAATACTTTTGAGTTGTATATTGTGTAGGTCTCCGGCTAACTCATGTTATCACTGTCTTACTGAAAGACTTCTGCTGATCAGCCGTGGTCGATCACTATTGCTATTACTATTGCACAACACATGCTGATCCTGGTCTTTGTCAATCCCGCTGGGACAATAATGATTAGAGAATCTGAGATTAGAGGAAAAGTTTTTGAAGCACTTGACAGACAAATGTCCCCAATCATGTTTTCTCAACTTCACTTTGAAATAAAGGTCACATATATATTTCTAAAATGGCAATGTTGAGCATATACAGTTACTTATTCTTTTTGGCATAAAATACAATTTATTGTGATCCTTTTAAATGTTCGAACAGTTAGGCTGCTCTACAGCAGAAACAAACTCTGTTGCTTTATTCTCCTGTTATCACTGTAAAGCGGCTCTGAAACACTCTGCATTGTAAGAGTGCTACACAAATAAAGGTTAAAAAACCTTTAAATTAGTTCAATACAAACTCCAGTCCACCATTACTTTAGTGCGACTTGCCCTTTAAGCCTTAAGCGTATGCTAAATCACATGACCTGCTGGAAGTGACATCATTTCCTTGGAAGGAAAGCAACTCCAAGATAAAAGTATCTGTCATAAACTTTTCTCTCATTTCCTAATTTGAAGAAGACTTATTTACCAGTGTAAAACATAATCATGTTGTGTACATTTATACTGGACATGAAAATGTTTTATAAATACAGTATCGTTATTCCCTCCTTCTTAAAACATCTACCCTGTTACACATTGCATTGTAAAAATGTCATTTAACAAAGTGGAAAATTTCCACATGTGAAATATTAGTTCAGGATTAATAGGATATACTAGCCTGAGCTTGACCAGTGTGTGTTTTATTATAGACAGAGTTTCTCAGTATCAGTACAGAATCCAGCAAACTGTAGGAATGACCCATATACAGCCAATAATATCATCAAACGTCTGATTAAAAGATCTTTGTATAAGAACCTTGTTTACATTATACCACAGGTGTGAATTTTCATATTTTACACTTTATTTCGATAGTCCACTTTAGACATTCTACTAATGCGTTGGTAACTCTCATTACAGAATAATTAGACTGTTATGATAGGGAATAAGTTGATATGTACTGTAGTTACAAAGTTACTGATAGTCAGTAGAATATCTGTTGAGGAGCATCAGAATAAAGAGTTAGCAGATATTAAGCACAGGCTACTAATACTCTACTAATACTCTACTGTACTCTACTAATACTCTACTAATACTCTACTAATACTCTACTGTACTCTACTGTACTCTACTAATACTCTACTGTACTCTACTAATACTCTACTAATACTCTACTGTACTCTACTGTACTCTACTGTACTCTACTAATACTCTACTAATACTCTACTAATACTCTACTGTACTCTACTAATACTCTACTGTACTCTACTGTACTCTACTGTACTCTACTAATACTCTACTAATACTCTACTGTACTCTTCTGTACTCTACTAATACTCTACTAATACTCTACTGTACTCTACTGTACTCTACTAATACTCTACTAATACTCTACTGTACTCTACTAATACTCTACTAATACTCTACTGTACTCTACTAATACTCTACTATACTCTACTAATACTCTACTAATACTCTACTGTACTCTACTAATACTCTACTATACTCTACTAATACTCTGCTAATACTCTACTAATACTCTACTGTACTCTACTGTACTCTACTAATACTCTACTGTACTCTACTGTACTCTACTAATACTCTACTAATGCTCTGCTAATACTCTACTAATACTCTACTGTACTCTACTGTACTCTACTAATACTCTACCAATACTCTACTGTACTCTACTGTACTCTACTGTGCTCTACTAATACTCTACTAATACTCTACTGTACTCTACTAATACTCTACTATACTCTACTAATACGCTACTAATACTCTACTAATACTCTACTGTACTCTACTGCACTCTACTAATACTCTACTGTACTCTACTAATACTCTACTATACTCTACTGTACTCTACTAACACTCTACTAATACTCTACTAATACTCTACTGTACTCTACTGTACTCTACTAATACTCTACTGTACTCTACTGTACTCTACTAATACTCTACTAATACTCTACTAATACTCTACTATACTCTACTGTACTCTACTAACACTCTACTAATACTCTACTAATACTCTACTAATACTCTACTAATACTCTACTGTACTCTACTGTACTCTACTAATACTCTACTAATACTCTACTGTACTCTACTAATACTCTACTATACTCTACTAATACTCTGCTAATACTCTACTAATACTCTGCTAATGCTCTACGGTGCTCTACTAATACTCTACTAATGCTCTAATAATACTCTACTAATGCTCTACTAATACTCTACTAATACTCTACTAAAACTCTGCTGTTCTCTTTTAATGCTCTACTAATACTCTACTAATACTCTACTAAAACTCTGCTGTTCTCTACTAATACTCTACTAATGCTCTACTAATACTCTACTAACACTCTACTAAAACTCTGCTGTTCTCTACTAATACTCTACTAATACTCTACTAATACTCTGCTAATGCTCTACGGTACTCTACTAATATTCTACTAATGCTCTACGGTTCTCTACTAATACTCTACTAATGCTCTACTAATACTCTACTAATACTCTACTAAAACTCTGCTGTTCTCTACTAATACTCTACTAATGCTCTACTAATACTCTACTAATACTCTACTAAAACTCTGCTGTTCTCTACTAATACTCTACTAATACTCTACTAATACTCTGCTAATGCTCTACGGTACTCTACTAATACTCTGCTAATGCTCTACGGTACTCTACTAATACTCTACTAATGCTCTACTAATACTCTACTAATGGTGTTTCCGATAACACCAGAGCAACAACCCCTCTCCCCAGACACGTTATCCCTCTCTCCAGCATCTCCACTTCTGTGCTTCTCAGAGAAAATGGAAAAACTGGTGTATGCTGGAACCAAACTATCCCACTCTTTTGCTGCAAGCCCCCAGATGTCAACCAAAAAACGGCAGGCCCCACAACCACCAAAGCCTGCGGGCCCAGTCCCTCCTCCTCCTCCTCCTCCTGTGAGAGCTCTTCGGCCTCTGCCACAGCGCCAGGGCTCACACCCTCCATCTGCTCGAGGTGAACCAAAAACAACTGATACCAGCTCTCAGTGATATGTGTCGGGTCCCCACTATGATAACAGTAACTTTCTTAAATGTTTACAAAACAAGCGGGAACCCAGTGTGCCTGAATATTTCTCTATTGCTGTTCAATTACATGATAGAAAATCTAAGGCCTTCAAAAGCCGTACAGGAAATCCATCTAATCTGGTGCCTATTACACGCCAAACTAAGATTGCTGTGGGGACAAAAAGTAAGACGGTTAAGTTAGCACTTTTAAACATCCGCTCACTTAAAAATAAATCACTTCTAGTCAACGATTTAATAACCACATACAACCTGGACTTTATGTTTCTAAATGAAACTTGGTTAGAAGACAGCTGCTCTTTTTAAATATGTCTATGAATGTAAGCAAATATCATTTGGGAATTACCCATCTTTCGAATATCTGGGTATTGTGTTAAAAGGTGCTCCACGTATTTTACTTATCATTATTTACAGGCCTCCAAAATACTCTCCAGCCTTTGCTGAGGACTTTACAGAACTGCTATCAACAATTTCCTCAGAGTTTGACTGTTTTGCCATTGCTGGAGATTTTAACATCCACATAGATAATGCAGAAACCAATGTGGCAAAAGAAATCAAAACTGTTTTAAAAACTTTTGATCTGACTCAGCATGTACATGGTCCCACACACAATCGTGGACACACTCTAGATTTACTTATCAGTAAGGGTCTAAACATCTCATCGATTGTTATTAAGGATGTAGCACTGTCTGATCATTTCTGTATTTTCTTTGATATATTGATCTCTCCTGCCAATGAAACTAGATCTGTGTCTGTCAAGAAGAGATGCTTAAAGGAGAACACTAGTGTGCTATTTATGAAGGCCATATCTCTAAAACCAAGCATATCTGCTGACTCTGTTGATTTTCTCCTTAATACTTTTAACTCAAAAGTTAAAAGTGTAATTGATGATATTGCTCCTGTGAAAGTCAGGAAGAGTGGTAGACAAAAAGCACCTTGGAGAAACTCAACAGCTGTGCAAAATATGAAAAGACAATGCAGAAGAGCAGAGCGCATGTGGCGGAAGACAAAACTTGTAGTCCATTATAACATCTACAAAGACAGCATCCATGCCTTCAATATGGAACTTGGCAAAGCTAGACAGACTTTCTTCTCGAATATTATAAACAGAAACTTAAACAACACACACACTCTTTTTGCTACTGTAGAGAGACTGACAAACCCCCCAAGCCAGATTCCCAGTGAAATGCTCTCAGACAGCAAGTGCAGGGAGTTTGCTTCTTTCTTCTCTGAGAAAATCAATAATATCAAAAAGGTGATCAGCACATCATTGAGCCGCACTGGGGTCAGACAGATCAGACCACAACCTGAGAAAGTAGTTACTATGTCTGTTTTCGAAGAAATCGAAGGCACAATTTTGGAAGAAACGGTACAGCACCTTAAAACATCAACCTGCGCCCTTGACACACTTCCCACATCTTTTTTCAAAAGTGTGTTAAACAGCTTAGAAGCAGATCTCCTAGAAGTGCTAAATGCCTCACTTCTCTCTGGGAGTTTTCCAAACTCCCTGAAAACTGCAGTTGTCAAGCCCCTCCTGAAAAAGAGCAATCTGGATAAGACCATCTTAAGCAACTATAGACCAATCTCAAATCTTCCTTTCATAGGCAAGATCATTGAAAAAGTTGTCTTCAATCAGCTGAACAAATTATTAAGCTTGAATGGATTCTTTGACAATTTTCAATCTGGTTTCCGATCGCATCACAGCACAGAGACAGGCAAATTATCAGTGCTGGTACTACTCGACCTCAGTGCTGCATTTGACACTGTCCATCACGACATACTTCTTGACAGGCTGGAAAACTGGGTGGGGCTTTCTGGGATAGTCCTAAAATGGTTCAGGTCATACTTAGAAGGGAGAGGTTATTATGTGAGTATAGGAGACCATAAGTCTGAGTGGACATCCATGACATGCGGAGTCCCTCAAGGCTCAATTCTTGCACCACTCCTATTCAACCTGTATATGCTCCCAATGAGCCAAATAATGAGAAAGAACCGCATCTCTTACCACAGCTATGCAGACGACACACAGCTCTACTTAGCCCTATCGCCTAACAACTACAGCCCCATTGACTCCCTGTGCCAATGCATTGATGAAGTAAACAGTTGGATGTGCCGAAACTTTCTTCAGTTAAACAAAGACAAAACTGAAGTCATTGCGTTTGGAAACAAAGATGAAGTTCTCAAGGTGAATGCATACCTTGACGCTAGGGGTCTAACAACTAAAAATCAAGTCAGGAATCTTGGTGTGTCTCTAGAGTCAGACCTTAGTTTCAGTAGTCATGTCAAAGCAATAACTAAATCAGCATACTATCATCTGAAAAATATTGCAAGAATTAGATGCTTTGTTTCCAATCAAGACTTAGAGAAACTTGTGCATGCTTTCATCACCAGCAGGGTGGATTATTGTAATGGACTCCTCACTGGCCTTCCTAAAAAGACCATAAGACAGTTGCAGCTTATACAGAACGCTGAGCAGAACCAGAACACATGAACATATCACACCAGTCCTCAGATCTTTACACTGGCTCCCAGTTACATTTAGGATTGATTTTAAAGTATTATTACTGGTATATAAATCATTCAATGGGCTAGGACCTCAATATATTGCAGATATGCTCACTGAATATAAACCTAACAGATCACTCAGATCATCAGGATCACATCAGCTAGAAATACCAAGGGTTCACTCTAAGCAAGGAGAGTCTGCTTTTAGCTATTATGCTGAACCAGCTTTCAGAGGAGATCAGATGTGCTCCTACAGTAGTCACATTCAAATCCAGACTCAAAACACATCTGTTTAGCTGTGCATTTACTGAATGAGCACTGTGCCACTGTTCGTCCGACTGTTTTTACTAAACTGTTTTAATTATTCTTATTAGTTTTGATTATTTTAATTTCTTCTATGTAAAGCACTTTGAATTGCCGGTAACACTTTATTTGAAGGGGTGTGCATAAGACTAACATGACACCTTCATAATCATGACATGACATATGTTATGAATATGAAGGAAGTTTTATGCATGTTTGTGACATCTGTAATTAAGTGTCATTCGCTCAATTATGACATTTTTAATGCAAATATGACATTGTTTGAGATGTCTTTGTTATGACACCTTGACATAAACCAATAGGCTATACATCATAACCTGCCAGTGTCTTTTACATGACAACTTGACATTACTAAGACAATACAACCTGTCATAAACATGACATAGCAGATTAATTATCAAACTTAAGAAACCACTTAGCTTTATTGGTTAACATTACATTAAACTGTCAGGTGGTTGGTTTTGACATTGGCTGTCATAAGGCCATTATAACCTTTTAATGACAAATTCAATGTGTACCACTGTAGTTGAGGTCACGAAAAATATTCATGACACAGTTATAATGCCTCATGACAGCCAATGTCAAAACCAACCACATGACAGTTTAACTTAATTTAATGTCAAGTTGTCATGACAAAGACACTGACAGGTTATGATGTTATGGTTTATGTCAAGGTGTCATAACAAAGACATCTTAAACAATGTCATATTTGCATTCAAAATGTCATTATTGAGCGAAAGACACTTAATGACAGTTGTCATAAACATGCATAAACCCTACTTCATATTCATGACATATGTCATGTCATGGTTATGAAGGTGTCATGTCAGTCTTATGTACACCCCTTCAAGTAAAGTGTTACCGAATTGCCATTGTGTATGAAATGTGCTATATAAATAAACTTACCTTGCCTAATACTCTACTAATACTCTACTAATACTCTACTATAATCTACTAATACTCTACTATACTCTACTGTACTCTACTAATGCTCTACTAATACTCTATTATACTGTACTGTGCTCTACTAATACTCTACTATACTCTACTGTACTATACTGTGCTCTAGTGCTCTACTAATGCTCTACTAATACTCTACTAATGCTCTACTAATACTCTACTAATGCTCTACTAATACTCTACTATACTCTACTGTACTCTAGTGCTCTACTAGTGCTCTACTAATACTCTACTAATGCTCTACTAATACTCTACTAATGCTCTACTAATACTCTACTATACTCTACTGTACTCTAGTGCTCTACTAGTGCTCTACTAATACTCTACTAATGCTCTACTAATACTCTACTAATGCTCTACTAATACTCTACTAATACTTTACTATACTCTACTAATACTCTACTGTACTCTACTAATGCTCTACTAATACTCTGCTATACTCTACTAATGCTCTTCTAATACTCTACTATACTCTACTGTACTCTACGAATGCTCTACTAATACTCTACTATACTCTACTGTACTCTACTAATGCTCTACTAATACTCTACTAATGCTCTACTAATACTCTACTAATGCTCTACTAATACTCTACTAATGCTCTACTAATACTCTACTATACTCTACTGTACTCTACTAATACTCTACTAATGCTCTACTAATACTCTACTAATGCTCTACTAATACTCTACTAATACTCGACTGTGCTCTACTAATACTCTACTAATGCTCTACTAATGCTCTACTAATACTCTACTAATGCTCTACTAATGCTCTACTAATGCTCTACTAATACTCGACTGTGCTCTACTAATACTCTACTAATACTCTACTAATACTCGACTGTGCTCTACTAATGCTCTACTAATGCTCTACTAATGCTCTACTAATACTCTACTAATGCTCTACTAATGCTCTACTAATACTCTACTAATGCTCTAATGAGAGTGAGTTGACATGTAGTTACTTGTAGTTAGTAGATTGTCTGAAGTGGACCATCGAAATAAAGTGTTACAAACATATGTTTGTGATCTGGGACTCTAGAATGCAGATGTGTACGTTAGAAACACAGTCTAGTGTGTCGTTCAGCTTATCAGAAATGGCAGATAGCGCTGAGACATGACAGATATACTGGCTCTGTTTGACTAAAAGCCCTTGATATGAAGCATTCAGAGCTTCACGTTAGTTAACATGTTTGTTCAGTCCCTTGTACAAGCACTTCAGCATGCATAAGATATTACGAAGATCTGTAATCCACAGCAGAAGTCAATTATTCAGTAGTGCAAGGCTTTTATATTGACCATTTATATACGTATAACTGAATGGACAGTTGAGTATCGTATCGAGGACTGTTCCTTCGTTGGCCAGAGGAGAACTGGCCCCCGACTGAGTCTGGTTTCTCACAAGGTTTTTTTCTCCATTCTGTCCCTGGTGGAGTTTGGGTTCCTCTCCACCGTTGCCTTGGCTTTTGGCTTGCTTAGTTGGGGACATTTAATATTCAATAATATTATTGATCTGCCTTACTTAAGGTGGACGTTGACGCAATTTTCTTTTAGAAACAAACTTTGTTGTATTATTTTCATGTTATCACTGTGAAGCTGCTTTGATACAATCTGTATTGTAAAAGGCGCTATATAAATATGACTATCGTGTGCATCACTGAGGAGACGCTCTGTGACAGCGAGAGCAATTAAAGGTGGACAGGCCTGAGAAAAGAACTTCACAAACTCTTAAACGGATCTGTTTTTCAGCTAAGAGGAGACTCTCCCTTCTGTCTCCTGTTCTCAGACGAGCGCGACGCCCACTGCGGCCACTCATTGTTCTCTCTGTGACGAGCAAACACTTGTCGACACACACACCTGGCTCAGACATGTCGGCGGAGAGAAGCTGAATGGAGAGATCCTCGGAAGTGGCGCTCCGGAGCGCAGTCAAAACAAGAGCAGGCCTGAGGCGAATCTGACTTCAGGACAGGTCAGACCTGCAGAACAGCTGACACACACACACACACACACACACACCTGCCCTTCATCAGGCTGACAGGAGGATCATCTCCCTCTCCGGTGGCTCTTCCTTTCACATCACCGTTCCTCCAGTCACAGCAACTCGTGATGCTTCTGAACCACAGCTCGTGTGTGTGTGTGTGTGTGTGTACAGATTGTTATTACATTGACTTAATGTCCCCACACGGATAGTCAAACCTGAGATCTCCTACATTGAGGAGCAGCCAGCGGATCCCCACGAGGGAAATAGGTTAATAAACATACTAAATTACATTTATATAGTTTTATTATATATATATATATATATATATAGTGTGTGTGTGTGTGTGTATGATGGGGAGGTTTAGGGGTAGGGTTAGAGTAAGGGGACATAATATACAGTTTGTATAGTATAAAAACCATTATGTCTATGTAGAGTCCCCACAAAGATAGTGAACCAGACGTGTGTGTGTGTGTGTATGAAATGCTGCAGGATATTTCCTCCTCATTAACACCACTCTTCCTCATGGTGTCTGAATCAGCAGGTTTTCAGTGGATGTGTTTATGCTCCTTCACACACACACACACTCTCTATGCGCTGCTGTAACCAGGTCACACACACACTCTCTCTATGCACTGCTGTAACCAGGTCACACACACTCTTCATCAGGGAATGAACTTGAAAAGTGAGCTGGCTTACAGTAAAGGCCTGATGAATGCGCTTTTAAGACGTGGAAAAGAAAACAGTGCCGTGTTTCTGTGGGCCGCACCCAGTTCAGTGAAAGACCTCCCGTGGAGCCTGTGCTCGACTCAAGCCCATAATCCCTGCGTTTGCACTTCAACTAAATTATGAGCTGACTTGCCAAACTGAACACAGCAAACTTCTCGATCTGCTTCATGTGTCGACGCCTCGGCTTATATAGTCATGCATGCGCGATCGTGTCAAGCGGCCAACTGTTCAGATATTAGACATACACCTGCGCTAAAGCAACATGTTTTTATTCCACACTAGTTTGACATGTTCATTTCATTCACCTTTGGAAACGGCAGAATAGCAAGTGTCTTTCTCTTGATTGACAGCAATAAAAGAGGAGTAAAAACAAGCCAAATGTTATATCAAATTGCATTTGTTATCCGGAGCGGAGCCAAGCCTGCCTGTCCCGCAGGGATCTGGGATAAATATACATGAGAGGTGCAGCTCCAGCTTTCCATCTAATTTGCGAGTGAAGGTGTGGAGGCGTGGGTAAGATGAGCCGCGGGTCTGTAATGGGGGCCGCCGTTCTAACAAGCTGTTTCTGAAGCAATCCCACCGGCTCCTCTTTACCTGTTACTCTCATTTGTGTTCTACATGCTTTACTCGCCCTCAAGTTGCTGTCAGTCGTCGTCCAAATCTTTGACACCCGCACATATTCTCATGCAGAAAGCCCGCGGTGTGTGTGAGTGTAAATTGGGCGAGTGTGTCACGGTTCGGGGTTTTGTCGGCACTAAAGTAAACTCGTCTACTGTCCTGTTCTGAGGTTTCAGCGGTTGGTTTCAGGAGGATCTGAGATCGTGTCACACATTAAGATGATCATTAATCTCCACATGAGTGACTTGAGTTGTTTGATGAGCTCCGATTCAAACGGTTCTCGATACAAAGGTGAGATTATGCTTTGCATAAACCGTTAAATCCGGCGATACGAGCAGACGTCCATGTAAACCTGCATGCGGTCGCTTTCTGCTCAGACTGCTACGCTATTCTAGCCATAGACATTGAGATGGAAACATTTTTATTATTGCAAAATAAAATCGCAAGGACACATTTCTCAATATTCAGGTCATTTTTTCGAAACTCTTCACTCAGTTCTCCAAACCAGCTTTAGCTTCACGGCAGTTCATTCACATTCAACATGCACTAAACACTTCATTCGTGTCTCAAATCAAGCCATTCTTCCTGAACACCAGCAAAGATTTCACTCAACAAACACACTTTATCACTCATACAAAACAGGAGCATTATACAATATTGTCTTCTGTCAGATTTCTTTAAACACAAGATTGACAGTTTATGATCCATGATCCATGTTTACAGTACAAAAAGGCGTTCAGCTACATCTAATTTGGTAGCAGTTGATTCTTTAGATTCAGAACATATTTAAATTTGATGTTACTATAGAAATGTCTTTTTAGTTTTGTACTATATTTGGTTTTGAAGTGAAGTTTAACAGTCTGTAAATGTGTAGATTGTCCTGTGGGTTCATAGAGTTTGAGTTTGAGTGTGAAATGAATGCATGTCGTTTTAAAGATGTCGTCATTGGTGTATTTATTTATAATGATCCTCGGTTTCTCCCACACAGATGCTGAACTGGTCCCAGTGCTTGTGCAGAACTGTAATCTCTCAGGTATAACATGCAAACGAGGAGCAGAACGCCAGCGCTGGCGCAGAGTAAGCCTCAGTTACGCATGAATGTCAAGCAGCAGAACGCCAGCGCAGGTTTAGATATACATGAGGCTACAAACAAACTCATTGTTTCATGGCAACAGTGTTTCCCATGTCTCCAGTCGAGTGCACATGCATGTGCTGGTGTTTGTTCGTCTGAATGGACAGGACAAACAGAAAGATACAGAGGCACGCATATACAGACACAGTCACATTTATTTACACACAGACATAAAACACACATTTGTCAGCGCGAGGTTTGCTAGCATGAGAAAGTAAATGAGAGGGGAAGGGCGTTTGTTGAATGGGTGGGCATGTTCACACACAACACTAGTGCTCGGAGATCTTCTGTTACTCGACACGTCTGAACACTGGCAGATCTTCATCTTCATGACAGCCGAACACTAACACACTGCGTTAGTCACACAACTACAGTGCGGACCAGCAACTTCAGACTCATTACTGTCAGATTCACCAAACCTTCATAGAATATTAGAAGGAATATCTGAACATGCTAAATCAAAAGAAAGAACAAACGAACAAAAACATTTTATTCTAGCTTCATGCTTTCTTTTTTATCAACACTTGAATGTGGGAAAACAAACAACATTTCGCATATAAAGCTGGGAAAATAGTGTTTCGAACCCAGAACGATGATGAAACACAGATGGAGTCGATCGAGTCCATCAACACCTCAAAGCTTCACAGTCCTGAACTCAACCTGGGAACTTTAGGCCGTTTGATTAATATGCTGATCAATGTTGGTGATTGTGTTATTTTACATGTGCGTCAGCAATGCTTCTATCACTCGTTTCTGCTTCTTCTTCATCCTCTTCTGCTGCGTTTACCTCCACTTTCAGACACACACGTGTGGACTTCCCGAGCTCCTCCTCCTCGCCGATACGCCGAAGTGTGTTCACCTACAGAACCGCTCTCAGGACTGTGAGCGAGTGAACGAGTCTACATGAACACTTCAGATCCATAGACCACAATGCAACACGGCTGTGACGTCCAGTGGTTCCTCTGAAACACACTGGAGGGTTTCCGCCAGTAGAGGCGCTACTTACACTACACCCTTACACGACTACGCAACTCACACGACTCTCCTCATATTAATGCATAACGATGCATTTAAAAGTTAATGTCCAAACGGATCTTTATAAAAGTCCACATTGTTATTGCAGATGAAATATAACATGGATAACATTAAATAATAAAAACGGACCAATAGGGTCCTCCTCACACTATCGGTGCTTGAGCCCTAAACGTGTTTTTTTTTTAATCAGTTTAAACTTGGATTATTTACTCAAACCTTCATCTAAACCTCTCACCGCCGGTCGCGCAGATCCGCCATGTTTGTAGTTTTTTAACACTTTATACTATAGAGAGCAAGGATCCACACTTCGGGAATAGTAGACGATCCTGGCTCTTCAACACACACTATACTTTGACACACTTATTCTAATGGATGGTGTGGACATTGAGACGCAGCCCTGGTTTAGCAGATCTTCTTCTTCTCCTGTGTTTTGATCAGGAGATTCAGTAATCTCTCAGTAGATGAGCAATAGCGCCCCCTACCGTATAACAGAGAAAACACGGAGCGACGGGAAATTGTGTCAATGGCGGGGAATGAGTTCATGTTTAATTAACTTAAAGGTGATTGGTGGATGTTTAATAGTTTGGCCATCTTCAGATGATTTCCAAGAAACCTGCAAATACAGAGTTGCTATCGAAACATTGTGTGTGTTTGAGCGTTCTGACAGCAGTGACTCGACCTTCACTGATTTTGTTTTTATTTTATTAATTCAAAGAATTCATAGAATCGGATAAAAAGCGTGATGCGTGGCATGCCGTCCCTGCCGCACTCATTCAGCGGATGAGATCTCACATTGTGTTCACTAGACCGTGAAGTTTCGAAGCCCACACCTTAACCCAACACACAAAAAACAACATCCTACATCTTTGCAAATGTCATCAGCCTGAGACTTCAGCTTCAACAAAGTGTGATGAATGTAGTGTTTTTGTAGTCGTGAACGGCACATGTTGAGTCAGGCTGTGATGCGCCGAGGATCTGTCCGTCACGTGTTTACTACTGAATTAATATGAAAGATATCTGACAGGTAATGAGGCATGGCTGCTTTCAGGACCAGCGCTTGTCAACAGCTATTGTAAGTGACAAGTATTTAAAACATGAGTCTTCTGCCAGTGATCATTGCTTAATTTCATAAACTGTAAATGGCTACAAATTACAGCGGGGAAAAAACTGCCAAAACGCCATTTTTGACAGGTTGAACAAACAACACGGTAGAAACCTGTAGACCTCGGAAATATGTCGAACGTTTGTCCGTCTACACAACATAAGCTCCAATTATCTTACAGACATAGCAGTGAAAATAATGCCGACTATACAGTATATCTCCAGTTTACTTCTAATCGTCGTTATAAAACTTCAGAATAAAGGAGTTATTACACTGTGTTTACGTTAGTTCACTTTGTGAAAAAGAATTAGACTTTCACACACCACATGACATTGGCTGATAATCTGATTTAAAAAACAACAGCATCGAATAATA